CTATAGGACGAGGCAGATCGCAGAGCGAGCACTGAAGCATGTGGATAAGTTGCCCAACTTCTCTGGGGTCTTCCCAAAGATGGGGTGATGAGAGGTTGAAGGATGGAAGGTTTGTATGAAGAGCATGTAAAGTTATTTTATTTTTCTCATTTGTATGTTTATGGAAAAATCGATAATACATTTTAGATCGGTTGCATGTTGAGATTCCATCTCAAGATTGCATTCTTTTTTTTTTTTTCAGTGTCCTGGTGAGGAGTTAAGAGGCTGTTGATTTTATGGTGTTAATTTATGTTTGGATCGTCGAGGGCTTCAGTCAAAAGACTCGGTTGTGGTGTTTACAAAAACATCACATCTGCAAACGAGCACCAAAAGATGCAACACAAATTGCTTAGCTTCTCCAGAATCTCCAACGTTGCACTGATGGCTGCAACAAATCAGATGCTTTGATTGTATGTATGTTTGTGACTTTGTCCATTGTTGTTTGTTTTTCTTTACAAACTGGTCAGTAATCCTTGTATGTGCATATTCTTTTTCTCTGAATGAATTAGTGTGAATTACGAATTGCTACTTTTCCGTAGAGTTAGTCATGGGGTAAGCATGCAGTTTGCTCATGTTCTGGTCGTCTTGTGATGAGTGTCTCGAATCCTATCAGTCACTGCTTGTTTTTGCCCAAGAATTAGTATCGGTTTCTTTTAGAAAACAATTTCAATTAAAATTTCTGTTTTTGTTTAATGAGTAGGTTACCAAATGGATGTCTCGAATCCATTGTATGTCTCAACATGAATTATGGGTGATCAGAAGTCTGGGACTAGTATGGGTTGAAGAAACATAGCAATTTGAGTGATGAGATTTGCAAGTATAAGATCTCAAGCTTATCTGTTTTCCTAAAGTTTCAAACCATTAACATTCTCGCCAGCGATCGAATGTGACACCAAATTTAGCTCCACTAGCATCTCTATCGCAGGTTTGTTGTGACCCAAAGAGGACACATCGCATCGGATGGAGACCTCTCCCACTCCAACAATACCTCAAAGCCGCCGCCATCTCTACGGAACGCCTCGATCCGATGAACTCCAGCTCTTGCACGGCCGTCACCTCGTCGACCGCCGCGCCCACCCCAGAGGTAGACGCAATCCTCTCTGCATCCTTGGAAGTCCCCGACGTCAACCAACCAACACTGTCTCTCCGTCCAAAACACCGCCCGCTCACCGACGCTCTCGACCTTGCTCCACTCCGGCGACTCTCCTCTTACATCAACCCTAAAGGCTTGGAAGAATTCCCCATCATCATCCTCGGGAGTCTCGTCGCCATGAGCGTACCTCGGATCACAAGTCACCAAGAGCAGCTCCCTGCTCGTTGTGCACGCCAAAGAGAACAGCGGTGCAAGGCCGAGTGGCACCGTCACCGTCAACAACGGTGCCGGTGGCCTCGACGGGTCCGCCATGTCGAACATGTACAAGTTACTGTGCCCGTCGAGGACGTACAGTCTCCCTTCGCGGTGTGCCATCGACCATGCGCGAGCCGCGAGAACGTCTTCCAGCGTCGTCCACGCCTTGTCTCCCGGCGTGCAGTAGATGACATCCCGAGAGTGGAGAATCGAGATGAACACGAAGCAGCCTTCGTCATTGCCGGTCGAGCTCGGGTTCGTCGGCAGGAAGACCTCCCATGGGTAGACCACGAAGGACATGTTGAAGCCCAGCTTGTCCCTCCTTCCCTTGTGGTCGGTGACCTCGTAGTTCCAGAGATCAGGGGAGACGCGTGCGGCACGCAGGCGGTAGAAGTCGGCCGTAGACGGGAGGTCGATCTGAACTCCGGTGATGGGGTTCAGCAAGCAAAGAGCGGCGGTCGTGATGTCGAGCATCACCAACCATCCATGGGCAGAATTGAGGACGATCTTGCCGTAGGATTCAGCGAGGGAGAGGGCGTGGACTTTGCCGGTGGAGAGGCTGAAGAAGGAGCGGGCGTGGGTGAAGGGGTGGTACGGGAGCATCAACAGTGGCGGCTGCGGGCGGAGGTTGGCGGGCGTCGCAGCGGACCGCCATGACTTGCACACGGAGCGGAATCGGATGTAGTCGGAGATGCGGACCAGCTTCGCAGCTACGAGATGGAGAAGGTCGTGAGGGAGTCGGGACCAACCCGCAGTCCCGAGAGGAGAATTCATGGTGGAATTGAAGAGAAAGAGGTGGTGGATTTTCGATCAGCCGAGCACAAATCAGTGTGCACAAGGTACGATTTCTTTCAGCATCATCGAAGTCACGCCTCCTCACATTAGTTTGTCCTCTCCATTTCCAATGCAACCAAAGGCTACATGACAAAGTCAATAATAGTAATCAATTAAGCCATAGATTATTTATTTATCGTTTACTGTCTATTGCATGCTTATCATCTTCCATCTGTCCGCTATATATATATATATATATATATATATATATATATATATATAGAGAGAGAGAGAGAGAGAGAGAGAGAGAGAGAGAGAGAGGAAAAGTGAGCCTGACTCAATTTTGCAATAAGGTGAGAAAACAATTAGTAATTGATTGTGATAATTATATATAAAAGATGACCTTGTGGAGTCATCTCAAGCTTGTCTATTCATACATCTAAATGCATATTATAGGTACAGTTGCTTGACTATAACATTATGAGAGTAGTGCATTATACAATAAATAATAAAAATTATAAATCAATATTATTATAAGATAAGAAATTCTAGGATAAAAATTAAGATTTAATAATTATATAAATATCTCATGCATCACTAGATTTTATTAGGATAATAAAATTAAAAAAAATACTTTGAGTACTAATAATTATTTGAATAGTTCATACATATCTAGGTTTTGGAAAAGTAGTAAAATGTAAAAAAAAAAAAATCTTTGGGTAGTGAGTATAAAAATTAGGATTTTTTTTCCTAATGGACGAAAAAAAGTTTTAAAAAAAGATAGAGAAATTTTGACAAAGAGAAATGGAAAGATAATAGAAGATCGACTTGTGTGCGATAGATTTATCGAGTTTATAGTTTGATCTTATTAATTTTGGTCATCGATATAACCCGAAAAAATTGATGTGATCAATTTTTTTTTTTGTTATTATTGTCTTTGGAAAAAGAAAAAAAAAACACAATGAGAGGATATAGTCCAAAATTCTAACTCAAAAAAAAAAAAATTCTCTTGAAACTAAAATATGTTGGTCTCCCATACTAGCAAAATATTTCCCATGATCAAATTAGTATTTATAAGTTCGAAATGAGAGCTCTCAATCATTACTATTAAACCCCAATAATGATGGCATATCACAACACAGAGTAACCTCTTGAATCGTTTTTGCTCGTCTTTGATTTTTTAGCCATCCCAGCCGTCAAAGAGGAAGACGGTAATCTCACTCGGTAGCCGTATCTATTTCCGGTCGGCAATCTGTGACCGACCCATTGTGGCCTGGACCGAACCGTATTCTCTGACGCATCGTGGTTCGGGTCGGGCGCGGCAATTCGGGTCCGAATACCCGCTTTGTTATCAGCTCCCCCTCCCTCCCTACATATAATAACAGTGCACCTATTCTTCGTCGGATTCAGTGCGCCAACAAGATGCAGTGTGTCTAAATACAAACAACAATGACGAGCACAGATTTGGTCTGTCACTAGAAAGATCTTGATAGGGCCATTTAGAGAGCTAAAATGTGGATCGGAGGTCGTGTAGCTGACGCCAACCTATTCAGAACGCAACTTTAGATAAGTGGAACGTAAATCCAAATAAGATCATGCGCTCAAACTAATCTTGCAGAAAGATATGGACACGGACGTGTAGTGAGGTACTGTCAAATAGTTGCGACCACATTAATGAAAACGAGGAAGGAAGCTTTGTTTAATCATGGCAGTACCCATCCACCACTAAAAGTTAAGCTTTGGCACGCAGATTTGACTAAGGCACTCCAGCAGATTACCACAAACCATGGAGATTGGAATGGAGGAGGTGGTCACCACTCTTATCGATTCACATTCATTATTTCCCTACACCTAAAAGACTGTTTAGTGGATACGTATGAATGACTCCCATCAACACAAAGGTACCTAATATTAAAGACGGTATCTTGCAGATCAAATAGAAATATATGAACATATGACATGAAAAGGTATGCATCATTAAACTAGATCAATGTATTTGATTTCAATCCTGACATAAAAGTTATTTTTGTATTTTAATACAACATATTACAGATTTTTATACTTATATATTCATATCATGGAAAAACAAGGGTATCTTTCTTGGTCACCCGGATTTATATTTTTCGAGGTTTGAAGAGGATTAATGTTATTCAACCTTATCTTATGCGTTATTTATATTATCAAAAAAGTTGTCTAGAATTAATTTCTTTGTCGGCAAAATGTATTTTCGGAAGAGTTGATTGTAGGGTCTCTGTCATTGTAAAGGAACTTTAGGTGTGCACACCTCACATGACCTAACCAAGCTTGCTTGTATTCTATGCATTCACACATATCACGGATGTGAATCGACCACGGACGGAAGAAAAGACATGAGAAAACCGAGCCAATTTAAGTGGAAGCTGTCACCCTCACGGAAAAGGAGGGGAATGCTTTTGGCAACACCTCATTTTGTGCAAATACCAAGTCAAACGCCCACCACATTCCTGACAAGTAGTGCTTTTACATCAGCTTCGTAGCATATGAATTGTGCTATCTGTGGAGCGGAAATGAATGTACACTTCTTACCTAATAGATGCTAGATTGAGTTAGCAGTAGATATTATAGCCAAAATTGTACTCTATGGAGACTGTTCTTTTAGATTTTGTATCTATCCGATCATATTGTCTCTCCGTGTGAATCTGTCCTTCTACGCATGTTGGTGCGCAGCCCCCCATGAGATCTTATCTTTCTTCGTCTACTCTCTCTCTATTTCTATTTCACTGTGTGTATCTTTCTATATAAGTTCTCGTGCGGTTTCTTTCCCCACCAACAATCTCTCTCTCTCTCTCTCTCTCTCTCTCTCTCTCTCTCTCTCTCTCTTTCTCTCTCTCGCTCCAGTGTACCAATCTATCTTTATAAGTACGTGTGAAGCTTCACCAAGAAGGAGAAAAGTTATTGCGCGCCTACGCTGATCCTGGTGGACTGAATAGCTAATACCAACATCCTTGCTGTAATGGCTAGACTAATTCCCGCCGTAGTCCATGACTTCTCTCCTTACTTCCGTGTCTACCAAGACGGCTCCATAGAAAGGCTTGTCACAGAGGAGCACACGCCGGCGTCGATCGACCCCCACACGGGCGTTACATCCAAGGACATCTCCATCTCCACAGACGTCTCGGCGCGTCTCTACCTACCCAAGCTCGCAGAGGCTCGCCACAAGCTTCCGCTCGTCGTCTACTTCCGCGGCGGCGCCTTCTGCATGATGTCATCCTCCTCACCCACTCTCCACGCCCACCTCAACTCCCTCGTCGCCGAGGCCAACGTCGTCCTGGTCTCGGTGGACTACCGGCGAGCCCCGGAGCACCGCATCCCCGTCGCCTACGACGACTCCTGGGCCGCGCTGGAATGGGCGGCCTCCAACCGCGGCGTCGGCGCCGAGCCCTGGCTGGTGGACCACGTCGACTTCGACCGAGTGTTCCTGGCCGGCGACAGCGCCGGCGGGAACATAGCGCACAACCTGGCCATGCGTGCAGGTGAGAGGGAGCTGCCGCACGGCGTGAAGCTGTCCGGGATCGTGCTGGTGGACCCTTACTTCTGGGGCTCAAAGCCGACGGCGTCAGAGGAGGCCAACCCGGAGATGACTGCCCGTCTCGACCAGTTGTGGCCGATGGTGTGCCCGTCGTCAGCGAGCGGGAACGACGACCCGCGCGTCAACCCGGTGGCGCCCTCGGCTCCGAGCCTGGCCGGGCTGGCTTGCGCGCGTCTGCTGGTTTGTGCGGCGGAGAAGGACGCCATGAGGGACCGGGCCAGGATCTACCACGAGGCTTTGAGGAAGAGCGGATGGAGTGGGGAGGTGGAGATGTACGAGACTGCAGGGGAGGATCATGGTTTCTATTTCTCTCATCCTAATGGACAGAACGCTAAGCTGCTCGTCAAAAGAATTGCCACCTTCTTATGCAGCACAAGCAACTTGGCCATGTACAAGTGATATATATACATATACATATATGTATATATATATATATATACACATATATATATATACATATACATATATATATAGCACGTATATATGTAGGAAATAAAAATGCTGATGTACCATAGTGTTTTTGATGAATATCGATAAAAAATATGAGCAGTATTGAACTTTAATAAGCATACAGTGAATATATTACTGTTATTTAAACTACGAAATGTTAATTTATAAAGGAAAATGTAGCTGTCCGGGCATACCTCACATGTGGATTCCACAAATCAGATCTGTATTGAAGTTAATACACCCACAATACCCTCATGTAAATACATCACTAACCGATCTCAAGATGTATTTTTGGCGTGATAGTTGGTGTGCACAAGTGATCATGGCGCAGTCACCTTCTTTTCCACAAGTAATCACATGGATTGGGAGAATGGAGATCTCATGGTGAAGAGGAAAGGATCCTGCGATGGCATTGAAGCAAAAGGTAACACTCCATCAATTGTAAACATCCGAGGCCAGTTAGATAAAAAGCAAACTACCGGGGGAAGACTGAAGCATTCGCTGTCTTTGTGGTAATGTGCTCAGTCAAATTCGGCGCAATTTAACATAAATGAACTTGCATTCTGATGCCCACCACCTCCATAATTCTGCAAGAATTATATGCCAAGATGAGCTTTGTAGAAAGATAAATGTACGGAGAAACGAGAACAGTGCAGAGAAAGAGGACTGCCTTTGAGATTGGTGTCGTGTCTTCTGAGTCCACACTTCTTAGGCTAATTTTCAGCACATGGTCGGTGTTAAGTTGGGGCACTTTGTACACGACAGCTCCAATGCCCCTGGGATTATAATTGAAGATTAAAGAGCATAATAATAAGAATGGGAAGTTTTGTAGCCAAAATATGCAAACAAAGCAAATTATGTCTTCTCACAACAATAATGCTTCCAAATCCAATAAATGTTGGGAGATAAATTTAAATATCTATTACTGATGCTATAGCCACTACTCTGGGGCTTTTCATGAGGCAAAACATGTTCATACTAGACAGTGAAAACATCCTAGTCGTGTTTGCCTGATTGAAAATAAATTAATCCCAACATCCAAGGGTGTAGTCATTTTTATTATCAGAAGTAATGAAGAAACATGAAAATGACTTTAAGGTTTGAAAGTTAGTGCAGCTTTGTTGAGCATTGAATTATACTACAACTAATTCTAAAATTCAGTTGCATGTTTAAATACTTTATGAGTGAGATTTAACATCCGTTTCCTTCACAAAAATAGATTAATCAAACATGATTTGCATCAGATCATAATGGCAGAAAAGAATGGAGGAATTAGAAAAATAACAAAAGCTTTGTACCATTTGAATTCTCATATATAACTTAGCCTGGATAATTACTGATTTCACAATGGCTACATTTTATGAGTAATAAAGAAACTAACATTCTGCAGTATGTTATGGAGTTCCCTTGTTATGTTCTGATCTCATGCTGTGGTGCTAGGTTGGCTATGAAAACACAATACTTATCTAGAAATTCTTCTACTATCAAAATGCCCAAGTAATCCATTATTCTGCGGGTATGAACCCTTACGATAGTTCATAACAAGGTTCGCAATACCGTACCGTACCGGTATTTCGACCTGGGCTCGGTACCGGTATTTCGACCTGGGCTCGGTACCGGTACGGTACGATATACCGAGCGGTACACCTGGGTGTACCGAGTACTGTAACACTGCTACAGTGCTACAGTACCTCGGACCGGTAACCGTCCGTCCACGTACCGAAAACCTGTTGGACCGGTACGTACCGCCCGTACCGGGCGGTACAGATCGGTACGGCAAACCCTGGTTCATAACAATATATATAAATCTACAATGCTTATCTTAGCTTATGTCTTCTACTTTTAGAATAAAAAATATCTGCATAAGAATATTAAGCAGTAAAAATAATATAATCTCAATCTGCAAACTTCAACAAAATTCCAACTAGCTAATTAAGATTGGGAAAAAGACACCATGTTGCTTGATCAAATTAGAAAATAGGAAAAGGTGAATAACATTATTTGATGACAATGTCCTCGAACAAAACTACATATTAACTCTAAGCCACATAAAAGCATATAAAAGCTATCAAAGTTAGCATGTAGATTAACTTGGTACAGTTCAGAAATTTAATATACAAAACCTACATTTCATCCACGATATCATAATAAACAGAATTAAAAATTGGAATCATGTAGAAATTAGTCATTCAATTATATAATAATTGAAACTGGATAGGATGATCCTGGATCAAGGGGTCGATGTATGAACCATCAGAAAGTTCACTTTCTTAATATCAATCATTCACTTTCTTGTACATGAGGTGATGGAATCACTAGTAATCAGACGAGATGGTTCCTACTTCCTAGAGTGTATTGCATACCCAAAAAAAATTGATTTCGGGCTAGCAGAAGAGTAAGTTAACAAGAATATTAGAAAAAGAATAAAAAAATATTAGTTAGTTGACCTGAGTCCTAGATTTTGGCTCTTAATAGCCAGCTGGTTCCCTAGTTCACTCCGCAGGTCTGAGATGTGATCAGCATTACCAGCCTGTGTAGCAAGAGTCCACAGACATAAAACATTATCATAAAGTAAACAGCATTGAGATAACTGATACCCTAAAAAGAGAAGCACTGACAAAACTGATATGTTCAGGCTTGGTTGCACTTCCACAAGCACAACCTGATGGTGCATGTTAAAGAAAGTTGGCAAATGTGATTAAATGCAACAGAAGAGTAAAAAGTCTTGCCAAGACCAAAAAGTATAAACAATTTCTTATCAAATAATAGATGCCTAAAAAGGTTCCTGAATTATATTCCTCACAAAAGCATGCGGCCTTGCATAGAAATTTGCCTGCTTGATACATCGTTAATGCTTGGCAGTGCAGAATATTTCAGTCTTAACTATGATTAAGTGTCTGAGAATTTCAGGGGAAAAATACAGTAACTTGAGTGGAAAAAAGGAGACACAAACAAAATAATATGGAGCAAACTCAGCGAGATGTAGCGAAGAAAAAAGAAATCATCTGCTGCATATAAGCAAGAAATTTTTTTTTATTAGGATACGATAAATCTTCAATATTCAGGCCAAGTTTGTTCGTCCTCAAGTTAAAGAGAATTAATAAAGAAAGTTTGGCCAAATAAATCATTTAAGAGTGACATGTTAAGAGCAAGGATATAAATGAAAAACTTTTACCAAGCACTGTCCAAATAGTCCATTGCCTAGTCGAATTTTATATGACTGCTGAAGAACTTCATTGATTAATCTCTGCTTATGTGTGAGAGTTTGCTTGCCAACACCAATGACATGCTCAGGGTCCAAGGCTAGTAACTGTCACAATTCAAATTGTCAAAATTGTACTGCAGCAAGCAAGCTTTAAGCATTATGCAACCTACTTAGAAGAGATGAAATCAAATAGCAGCCTGACCATAGAAATAAATGAAGTACTTGAACTGCAACCTAATTAGAAGAGATGGAATCAAATAGCACTATGAAGATTTTGTGTTCTTTCTACCAGAGACATCGTAACAAGTAGATAGACAAGATCAGGTCACTTGTTTTTTCAAGTCAGGAAAATCTAAATTTTGAAATAAGCTCCAAATCTGATGGGTTCTTGGACATACCTAGAAGCCAAATGCTTAGAAGTAAATTTCCATAGCATGTACAGTGCCTACATAAGTGAAACCTGATTAGCTGCTTCCTATTACTTTCTTTTTATTATGGATATATTTTATTTTCATTTTTATTAGATATAATAAGTCTAGAGACCCAAATTATCATGTTACATCCTTTTAAAAATTTGGTGACGCAGCTCTACTTCCATCGTCTATACTTAAATCATCCCCTCTTATTTCCTCTACCACCCTTTGATCTTCCGTCTTTTTTCTTCATTTCTTATTAACCAACTTGTGCAACTACTGTGGGTGTAAATTTGTTAATATGATATCTTAGTTCTTAAAACCAAATATTGGAACAAAAAACTAATGTTAAGGAAAAAGAATACACATACATGAATGTAACATACATGAATGTAAGGGCAACTAGTTTATAATTAAGATTAGCTATCATAGAAACATACAACTGGTAGATGCAATATTATAAAAGCTAAGAGTTTGCATGTAAAAATAAGAAAAGAATATGAAATACAAAAAGGAAAAAAATAAGTATTAACATAATGAATACACAGAATTTGACATCTATCTTATACATAATAATTTTCAAGAAAATAAGAAATGTTGTTATTCCAAGAAAGCTAATAGAAAGTCCATTTACCTGGTCAAATACAGCTGAATTCACATTAACATTGTACTCTATGTTCATATCTTTTAAGCCACTAGCAAAAGCTTTGCTATATGGAAGTGCCCACCTCCAAAGATCTCCATCCTCAACATATTTGAAAAGCTTATGTACTCTCTCAATCTTGCTGTCAGATACTAAGTTAAGTCTGCCCTTCATATGATGCTGAATTTCAGGATCTTTTGAAATATCATCACATGCTAAAAGTTTCTCCTTGAAGAAGTCAAATGCAATTGTAGCACCACTCTGATTCATATCAATGACCTTAGTCACATTCTGGCCAGTCAATACGTTTCCACAAAGGTCTTCAAATGCAGTCTTATGATGATCTAGGATTGTCACACTAAAGAAAGGAAAACAAAAGACAAAAGAAATATTTACTAAGATTGAAAAGCATTGCTTAGAGAAGACTGTAAAGTTGTTGATAACAGAAAATCATATTTTAGCATGTGCATGCAAGCAACAAAAATCTTGTATCTGAAAAGACAAGATGCTCTTATGTACTCGATTATTGTAATATATCTTTGGAACTGAATCATTACATGCTTATTCTCACTCAAAAAGAACAGATATTTCAGTAATTCTTCCAACTCTCAGAAATCAGAACAACTCATTTTCTCAAGCAATAGAAAAATAGATTAAAGCATGTTAACTACCATTCAAGCAAGATCAAAATACCAATGTAGCATTTATTACTGATAAACAACAAATTCTAGAGGTTCAGAGACCAACCTCTCAACTTTTGTAGATATTTCAGCAACAAAGCCAGAGGGTCCAACAAAATCCAAGAGGTAGACATCACTGATTTCATCTAGAGGAAGATCATTAGCCCTGGAAGAAAAATCAAGGATAAGTTATTTTTGTTGTGATTCAAGATACTGCAGGAGATGATTGGCGATCCAGTGGTGACAAATAATATCTTCATACATCCTATCATAGGCTGTTTCTCAACTTTGTTAAGTTTCAGACTATTAATGATGGGATATGCATGCCAAATAATACGTATGTTGTGATCTACAAATAATTGTCCTTCAGTTGTTTTTAGAAAAGTTTCACGGACTCATCCTCTATATGAAGATACAACTAGTAGGCTAAAGTACTCTACAATCTTCTGTCAACAGATAATCTGACTAACAG